AAGGGTCCCCCCCCCCCCCCCCCCCCCCCTCCCCCCTCCAACGATCCTGTTAGTCGTGCGAAAGCGCGAGGTGCAACAAGAGCCCATCCTTTGGCTTTCCGGGATCCAAGGGGCAATTCTGTCATAAGCACAGCGAGGAGGGGATGATCAACGTCCGACGTGGAAGATGCATGGTCCCGGACTGCACCAAGGTGAGGGGGAGTGGCTCAATATTTGTGGGCGTGAATTCATTTGTATTAGAAGTATGTTTTGTTGCATTTTATTGCAAGAGCTGATACCAATTCCATCTCTATCCACAGATACAAGCCCAGGATAACGTAGAAACAATAGTGTTGTGTGCCCTACCTGGCGTGTTGATTGTTTTTGCACCCAACAACCGTGCGGACTTTTTTATTGTTTGTGCATTAAGAGCACCCAGAAACTCCGTGTTGTGTCACAAGTAATTTTTGTTGATTTTTCGTGTTCCTTTTATTTCGTCCTCTGTCTTGTGTCTGTGATTTTGTGTTTTTGTCTTCCCCTTGCCATCGCTGGTGCTCCGCCGCCTCTGTCCGCCTCAACACCCTGCATTTCCACCACGCTGCCGCCACCTGTTGCTGGCCCCCCGCCCCCCCCCGTGATGCTCGTCTCTCTGCACTCAGTCTCCAAGTCAAGACCCGCTGGGGGCCAAGGGCCAGAAGGCGCGCTTCTGTAAGGACCACCATATTCCCGGCAGGGAATGCCGGCATCCATCAGGGTGCAGCCGTCTGGCCACGCACGCGCCGCCGCCGTCGCCGTCCCCCGCTAGCGGCGGCGGCGGCGGCGGCGGCGGCGACGCTGTGTCTGCCGCGGGAACCCCCGCTACGGCTGCCGCCGAAGACGGGGACGGGGACGGTGGCGGCGGCGGGGAGGGTGGAAGCTGCAAGAGGAAGCGACCCGCTCCGGACGTTGGGACGGAGGCTGCGGTAGACGCTAGCGCTGGGGACGGCGGCGGGAGCGGGGGCGGCGTCGTTGCCGCCGGTGGGGTGTCGGCCGCGGCGGCGGCAGAGGACGGTGCTGCTGAGGTGGCAATGGATGTTGACGTTGGGGAGGGGGTGGGTGCGGCTGCTAGTTCTTGCGGTACTGGCAACGGAGTGGCGGCGGCAGCGAACGCGGCGGGTTCCGTTGGGCCTAGTAACGGTAGTGGCAGTGCTGCTGCTAGCGACGCGTCTGTTGCCATGAACGTGGACAACGGCCGATCGGAGAATGGCACGGCGGTTGTGGGCGGTGCTGCGGCAAGTGCAGCCCGCTTCGACGACGTGATGGCGGCGGCTCGCTTGCTTCTCGGAGACGTGGAGCGCGGTTTCCAGCAGCAGCAGCAACAACCACAGCAGCAGGAACAGCATCATCATCATCAGCAGCAGCAGCAACAACAACAACAATCACAGCCGCAGGAGCAGCAGCAGCAGCAGCGACAACAGCCTACGATGTGCCGGGAGCACGCCGGGCCAGGTTGGATAGATGTCGTCCGCATCGGAGGAAGGAGTGAGGATAACACCACAGCGGTGGGCGAACGAGCGATAGATGCGCCGGTGCGACGGGAAGAAACAACGGGGGGAATGATTGAATGCCATCGGTGTTTTGTTTGCGTGCGTTATTTCGGCAACAGTGCACTAACCAGATAGATGCCGAAGGTAGTTGAACCGCGTGGGTACATGTTTCTCTCTCTCTCTCGCGGCCAAGAAACAATAACGGCAGAATCCCGCGCATGAACCTTGGCCTCTATGATTGTAGCGGGCCAAGCGACGGAGAATAGCGGCCTCGTCCGACCTACGGGAGGATGGAGCTGGAGCAGCAGCTGGGGGACCGGGGCCAAGAGCAGGATCAGCTCGATGGGCCGGCAAGGAGGAAGGAGGCGTGTCTCGCGACGGTTACGACTTCGACGACAAACCGGCACGTGTAACCGTTGCATTTTTTTGTGTTTGCATCACGTTTGTGGACCGCCTTGGGGTGCGGTTTCAGACTAGTTTACCCTACGGCCGCCTTGCTTGCCTCTCTGTGTACCTGGAGAGCTTTGGTTTAGTTGCTCGCAATGTATTGGAGTACAGCCGTCAGTCCGCGGCTCTTCTTATGACGATGCAAAGAGATCGACTGTGCACACCACGGTGAGCGTGCCGGGTGTGGCATGCCGTAGTGCTCATGAGCGGGGTAACTCTGTAATGGGTGGTGGCGAGTGTTTTCGGCTGGTCGTCTCTTACTTTCCTTTTCTCCCCTCGCGGCGCCGCACGACCGAAAAACACCTCCCTTTGACACCAAAGGCTGCGGTCGGCAGGAGTGGGTGCAACAGCGACAGCAGCAGCAACAACCACATCAACATCGGTGGCGGTAGCGACGTCGATCCTGGGGGGGGCGCGGCTGGGGGTGGGGAGGGAGGTGACGCGAGAGCTGGCGTCGCGGGTGCCCTCGGCGAGGTGACGACGTCAGGGCGCTTGGTGGGCAGGCCCAAGGGCGTCAACGACCAGTGAGTCGAAAAGAACAAAATAACCGCCTTCTTTTTCTTGAAAAACGGTCGTGCGGTGCGGGGCGACCTCCTTACCCGCTGTTGCGAGCAGAAGGCGTGATTCGGTGTGTTTGCGGTATGATAGGGGAGAAGGATCCATTCGCTCTAGGAAGGGAGAGAGGCGACCAAGTGCGGGGTGTTTATTCGTGTAGCGTTTTTTTTTCGTCCCTTGCTCATCCGCCGTCAGACCTTGGACGAGAAAAACATGACAACAACAGCGTTCTGGATGTTGCGTTCCTCTTTTTCTCGTCCCTTGGTCCCTGAGGCCTTTCGAGAGAGTCGTTCGGGGATATATTGATTTTTGTTCCCGGATCGATGGAGTTCGCGAACATCATTATTTGCTTTAGTGCTAGCTTGCAGCTGCAGTGTATCCCTGTGTTCGCATGGTCCAGACTCCTTGTTTTGAGAGAACGGCTGGTCAGCACACCTGTTGTCCCCCGGGTGCCCAATGTGTGTATCCGCAGCCATTCGTGTACTCTCCCCCATTGATTGCTCGTTTCAACGTTGCTGCTGTCGCGCCCTCAATCCAGGTGCCCGCATCCCAACAGCAAGCACTACTGCCACGGGAAGTGCAAGGTTTGCTACATGAAGGTCAGCCCTTTGGTCAGCGGCCACCCACACTCTCTCTCTCTTTTACAGCTCATTTGATCGTGGTTGTTGCAGTTGGCGCTGGCGTTGGTTTGGAGTCGGTGTGGTCTTTGCAGTAGAGGTGGTGGTGGTGGTGCTATTGTTGTCGATTTTGGTGTTGGCGTTTGTTGTGGCTTGGAGTCGTATTACATTGTAGTGTGGTCTTGGTGGTGTTGTCAGTGATGGTGGTGGTGATGTTGTTTTGGCGCTGTTGGTGTTGTTGTTGTTGTTGTTGGTAGTGGTGCCGCTGCTGATACCGCCGTCGCTGACGTTGTTATTTCGTCGCTGTATGCACTCGCCAACGACCACCCTGTCCTTTGTCGTATACCCCTTCGCCCATGGCAGGAGTACAACCAGAAGACTCGCATGCAGGGTGCGGCGGGTAAGCCACCCGGCAAAAAGCCTGCGGTTGTGACAGGCAAGTGGTACATGAAGGCGTGGCCTTGAGACCCATTGTCCGACCGTACGTGTGGGGGGTCCCGTCGTGCGAACATGTGTGTGTGCGTGGAGGGGGGGTCTTCTGAAAGTGGGAGCGGGGGGGCGTCGTCCAAAAATGTGTGAGGGGGGTCCCCGTTTTTCGAAGGTGTGTGTGTTCGTGGGTTTGTTGTCCAAGCGTGTGTGTAGGGGACCCGTCGTCGAGAGTGCTTCCGTCGTCCGAAAAGTGACATTTTGTTATCCTTGTTGGTGCATTGTTCGGCACGGTTGAAATGGGCTTGTAGCAACTGATTTCATCCATCAAGACCCGATAGGTTAGCCGAGTCTTTCGACTGCCATGGAATGTGGGATGATGACACTGCGCGGGTCGTTCGCACTTTTCAACGCATCCAAGGTTTCATCCCGTCGTGTACGGTACAATATCACCACTTTTTTTTTTTTCCCTCCTGCTCCGCTTCCCATGCGTAGCGGGCTCCGCAGATGGGAACGCGTCCTGTGGACCCGAGGGCGGATATTCCGGATACACAACCTTGAATCGCAGGTCTGTTTCCCCTTGTTTGAGGCGCTTTTTTTTGTTGGGTTGGTTGGACGTTTTTTCTCACCTTTCAGCCGGTGGTCCGTCTCTTCCTACGTTGTTGCTGTCGTTGTTTTCTCCACATTAACCCTTACGTGGCTGAATTGATCTGACTTTTTTTTTTTTTTTTGCCTCCTCCCCAAGGACTTGCTCTTGGAAGGCAAATGCTCCAACATCTTACATGTGTGCACACAATCGCGAAAGTAGGTACACACGCACGAATCACGGCGGCAAGGAGGATAGACTATTGAGGAGACGTCCGTGTGTGTTTTGCGATCATTCTGCAGACGAAGTACTTGGAATCGTAGTCACATCAGGGTTGAGAACAATTCCAGTCTGTGCTCAGGGCCTTGTCAGGACCATATTGTAACGTTCGTTCGGGTGAAATCGAACGGAGACGCATATTCGGTGGTCACAGGGCAACTACGACCCACACATGAAGGCCGTTTCACACTTGGAAGAAGTCGAAAATAGAGCTATCAAAGGACACATTCCCGGTGCTTTCTTTTTGCACTTGATTTTTTTTTTTTTTCTTTGAAAGGTGTACCCCCCCTTTGGTGTGGGGCAGTTGGTCTGTGACCACGGAAGGTGTCCGCGTCGGTTGGACCAGTACCGACATAAGAAGGTACCGAGCGGAGACCGGAACGGTTTTAATGTGAAGACAACAACAACAACAACCATAACTTGGCTATGATTTTTATGGTGTACGTATTTTACTCCTGTGCGACTCTCTGAGTGTGCCCTTGGTGGTCCTGACTGCTGTGCTTAAAATAGTGTCTTTCGTCTTTTCTTTCGCGTGTGTCTTTTGTGCGTTTTCTTTTACAGGAGGCGACGCAGGTCAAGACGTGAGATTCTTGCTGCTGCTGCTGCTGCTGCTGCTGCTTCGACTTCGTCGCAAGCGACTTCATCGCAAGTGACTTCGGCGCAAGCGACTTCATCTACTTCATCGCAAGCGACTTCGGCGCAACGCACTACTGCTGGCGAGGCTATGGCGGAGGGACAAGCCGGTGGCACCACCAATTCGGACAAACATTGGCGCAGAACGGTGTCGAGTTGCGAGCACGCTGACGCTCCCCACTACGGGAAGGGCTTTTGCAGACCTTGCTACATGGTGAGCGGAGAGAGCGCCAAGAAATATAGAGAGACGTTTTGTGGTATATTTCTGTGGAGTTTGGCAGCATCAGCGTAGACAGCGACGTTTTGCATGAGGGGCAGAGAGAAACCGACAAAGAGACAGCAGGAGAGAGAGCACAAGGAGGCGCTTTGCAGGACGTGAAAAATGGTGTTTGGCCTCTGAACAAGGGCTCTTCCTGAAGGGCTCTTTGCATCAAAGACAGGCCGATGCAACCGTTACGCCGCCTTGTCCAAACAGGCGCCGCATTAGAGTGTTCCATTTCGCCCGTCTGTTCCAACCACCTCACACAACGTCGTCGCCGATGTCGTCCCAAACCACCCCACACACCGTCGTGCGCCGGTAACGCCAGAGGGAGTACAACAGAGCCAAGCGGCGAGGGGAGAACGTGGTGCGGCTTAACCACCCTCGGCCGGAGGCGTCGCCGTCGTCGACGCCCGCCGCCGCCGCCGCCGCCGCCACCGGCGCGCCGGCAAGCTCCGCGAAAGAGGGCGGCAGCGGCGGCGGCGGCGGGTCCTCCTCGTCTTCCTCTTGGCCGTATTCCAAGACGGGGGGGAAGCTAGCGCTAGCGCCGACCCCACCCTCGGTTACGGCGGCGGTTTCGGCGGCGGCGGCGTCGGCTGCGATGCGGGCCTCTAGCTTCGTGCCCAAGACGACGGCGCTCCCTCCCCCGATTTGCGGGCGCTGCAAGCAGACGGAACGGTCGTGGCCGTCCGTGCTCGTCTGCGACGGGTAAGCGGGGGGGCGGGCCGGCGGGCGTGTTTTGGGCCGCGTTTTTCTATTGCGAGTTATTTTTGTTGGTCCTCTGGAGGCGTTTGTCCTCTTGAGGCGTGTCTCTGCTGCGCGAACACACGTCAGCACCGCCTGCTTGTGAAACAAGTGTGCGCAAAGCTATAATGATAATTCTTTTGAAGCCCCCTGAAAGTTTTACCTCCCTTGGCGCCCAAGATTACTTTGCGGTGCCGCTGCCAGAAAACACCGACGACTCCATACCTCGCCCCACCTAACGCTTCCGATTTCCCTCTATCTGTTTTCTCTTTTCTCTCTTTGTATCCCTCTCTCTCCGTCCCCGTCTCTTGTCCGTCTGTCTGTGTCTCCCCCCGTCTGCCGTGGAAACAGCTGCGAGGCCACGTTCCACCTTGGCTGCGCGCGTATGTCCAGCCAGCCTTTCGGGGAGTGGTACTGCCCCCGGTGCACCTCCTTCCTGTTGGACAGCGACAGCGAGGCCGACGACGCCCCGCCGCCGCCGCCGCCGAAAGAACAGGCGGCAGCCGCAAGGGTTTCCTCTACCGACCAGCGGCCGGCGGAGGCGTCGTCGGAGGCGACGGCGACGGTGGCGGCGGCGCTGGTGGCCCTAGCGGCGGAGGCTACGACGGCGTCGGAGCGGGCACGAACGAGGAAGGCTGCGGCAGCCACAAGCTCAACGGCGGTGTCCGAACCTGCCCCGGAGAAACCAGAAGGGGTTGAAGCTCCGCCCGCTCCTGGCCCGTCCTCTGACCCTGCTGTCGAAGGCAGCGGCGGTGCGGGAGGCGGAGGTTCTTCTTCTTCATCATCGTCGCTGGGGATGGCCACAACGGACGGGGACAGCAGCGGTCCTGCTGCTGGTGCTGCCACTGCCGCCGCCGCCCCTACCCCGGGCGGAGGGGAAGCGGGGTCGGTGGCGGACGCTCCCGCTGCCGGTGGCGACGCGAGTGGCGGTGGCGCCGCCTCGAGACGGCCAGAGCGTCGATCGGCTGCCCTGAGGACCCCCGCGGATGGAGCGGAGGCTGCTGCTGCTGCCGCTGCTACCCCGAAGTCAGTCGGAGGAGGAAGCTCCACCCACCACGGCAAGGCCGATGCCGGCGGCGGCAGGAGGCAGAAGCGGTGGTCGCTTCGAGGAGATGTGCGTGGGTGTCGGTGCCCGGACTGCGTGTCGATCCTCCTCCAGGCCGGCGGGTCGCGGCCGCCGGAGGCCTCGAGCCTGCTCGTGTCGGAGGAGGCCCGCTCCCTGCCGGCCCCCAAGATCCCCGAGGGCACGGAGCACGGGGTAGTTATCCCCCGCCGGGGGGGCCTGGGCATTAAGCGGCGGCGCCAGCGCCGCTCCCCGCGGGACCCGTACGCCCTGAAGGAGGACCGGCTTAGGGAGAGGGAGACGGTCCCGGCACCAAAACGTCCGGGGCGGCCGCCGGGGTCCAACAAGCCCAAGCCGGCGACGGGGAGGACCGGCACGGGGCGGCCGGTGGGCAGGCCGAAGGGGAGCAAGAACCGTGTTGTCGCCTCCAGCCCCGCCGCGATCAGGTACGGCTTTGGCAGCAGCGGCCGGGAAGGCAGCGACTCCTTGCAGCGCGTCGCGCTTCCCTCCCGACGTGAGCTCGAGGTGGACACAAACAACGGTGGCGGCTTGGGTTCGGCATCGGCCTCTTCGGGGGAAGGGGGAGGGGGCCGGGCGGGGCTCCGGTCGACCCGGGGCCACAACAGGCGGAGGTTCCGCGGCGGCAGCGACGAAGAGTGGAGTTTCGGCGGCGGGTGGGCTAGCGACAGCGACGGCGGCGGCGGCGGCGGTGTCAACTACCGCTTCGGGGGTGACAAGGTCCGCCGGCGGAGGCGAGCCGCGGGCGACGTTAGCGACGAGAGCTACTCGATGAGCGACAGCGGGAACAGCAGCAGCGGTGGCGACGGCCGGCGACGGGGACGCAAGCGGGGTCGAGGTAGCGCGGGCGCCAGCGCCAGCGCTGGCACCAGCGCTGGCCCGGGCGGTGCCGGCGGCGGCGGCGGAGTCGTCGTCAAGCGTGGTCCCGGCAGACCGCGGAAGACGGACTGCCCAGCGGGCGGGGGCGGCAGCGGCAGCGGCGGCGGGCGTGCCCGTGGGGCGGGGCCCACCTCGAAGCGCCAGCCGAAGGCCGCGGCGGCAGCGGCGGCGGGGGAAGGTGGCGAGACCGTTAGAAAGCGAGCCTCGCCGAGGACGTCGCGCAAGGGGGTGGTTACGGCGTGCGAACACACGGACCGGCCGCTGTACTCCAGGGGGCAGTGCAAGCCGTGCTACATGGTGAGGGGATCCCCCCGGGAAAACTGGGGGTTAGGTGGCACGACAGGGTGGGGTTGGTTGGTGTCGTTGCTGTCGCTAGCGGGTGTTTTTCCCCCCCGCCGTGGGTGGTCCGTAATGTGCGCGGAGCTTAACCTTGTTCTTCTCATTTCTCGCGGCGGTTGCCGTTCCACCGCGGTGTTGTGTTGTTGTTTTCGTCCTATTTATTGTGGTGACAGTGCCCCCATTTTTCGTGGTGAGACGTGTACGGCACTCTTCAGTGTCTGCAGATTACTACACTTTTCGGTGTATTTGTTTTCGTACAACTACAACCATCCAGGGTCACACAGGAGGGGGGTAAACACAGGGGGTCGTCGTGCCTGCTTTAACGAGGCGTTCCGTTCAGTTGCGATTGCCGCGGACTATCGTGTTTCGCGGTTTTGTTGGCGCTTCCACCCTCGTCGTAGATTTGACCGGTGTTTCCGCTACCTCTCCTACTTGGATCCAGGACTACCGTGAATTAACGTCTTGTCGTTGATTTCCCCCCCTCGTACCACTTTTTGCCGACACCATCACTCCAAACCTGAGCCTTGATGCCCCTATCCTACCACTGTGTTTACATTTTCAGGTGGCCTACTGGAACCGCAAGCACGCGGAGCTGGGAATAAAGCCTCGGAAGCACCGCTCATCGGAGTGGGTAGAGAAGAAGCGAGAGCTTAAAGAAGCGGCGAGTAGATCGGAGGGCGGCAGTGTGGGGTCATCCGAAGGGCTGCCCAGCTCAGTGGGTGTCAACAACGCGAGCGCTTTCCCTGTCGGTACCCCGGCGGATAGCGCAGCGCGGCCGAGCGGTGTAGCGGCAGCAGCCACCGGCAGCATCAGCAGCGGCGGGGGGCGCGAAGCGACCAACCGGAAGGCCACCGGGGATTCTGAGAACCGGCCACAGCAGGGAATCATTTCGGCGCCGGTCCCTCACGCCGCTGGCCCGGGCTTGCCGGCCGGGGGCGGCGGCAGCGGCGCCGGCGGCAGTGAGGCCTCCAACGGAGGAGGAAGCGCTGCCGCGGAAGACAAGACACGGCAGCTGGTCGCGGCAGTGGCGGCGGTGGTATCTGCAGCGGTGGCACCGGCACCGGCACCGGCACCGGTGAGAGAGTACGTGTTTCCCCCAGACTTGAGGATGGGGTACGCGGCGCAGCCGGTGGTTGAGGCGGCGACGTCCATGGCGACTGCGCCGCCACCGACGCCAGCGTTAACGCTGCCGCCTCTGTCGTTAGCGCCGCCGGCCGTGAAAACCTCTTTGGGGACGCCCGGGAAGGTGGCGGTGGCAGCTACGCCAGGCGACTCGAGCAAGGCTGTCGACCCTGTGGTGAAGGCTTCGACTCAGGACCAACGGCAGCCGCCGGCGGCAGCGGCGGGGGTGGTGGCGCCGACGACGGCGGTTAAGGAGAAGAAAACTGTCTACCCGGCGAGGGCGTCGACTGCGGAGGCGTTGACCGCGGTTGAGGCCAAGAACGGGGTCGATCTGGCGAGGGTATCGACTCAACATCGCGAACAGCCCGCGGGTCGGCCGGCAGCCGAGGCTAAGAAAGCTGGCGACGACTCGATGAGCGCGTCCAAGCCAGATCAAAGACAGCTACCGGTGCTGTCGCCGGGCGAGCCAAAGGCAAATGCTGTCGCACCCTCCAAGGCTTCGCCTCAGACCCGACAACAGCCAGCCGTGCCGGCCGTGCCGGCCGCAGCTGAAGCGAGCGCTTCGAAGTCAGGCCAAAGACAGCTACCGGTGCTGTCGCCGGGCGAGCCAAGGGCAACTGCTGTCGCACCCTCCAAGGCTTCGCCTCAGGCCCAACAACAGCCAGCGGTTCCGGCGGCAACGGAGCCGAAGAAGCCTGTCGACGGCTCGCCGAGGTCTTCCACGTCGGTCCAACGACAACCACCCGCGGGGTTGTCAGGCGAGCCGAAGGCAACTGTCGCGCCCTCGACTCAGACCCAGCCCGCATTGCCGGCGGCAGCTGACGCGAAGACAACCGCCGACGCGCCGGCTCCAGAGCAACGGCAACCGGCGGCGCCGGCGGCGGTGCGTGAGCCTACGAAACCTACCGAACCACCGGTAACGTCGACGTCCGTACAGCAGCGACCGCCGCTGCCTCCGTCCGCCGCCGCGGTAACGGTAGCGGTGTTAACCTCGTCGTCGTCTCCTTCTAGAGCAGAAGCCACGGTGGTGTCGGCACAAATAGAAACGCCTCTGGAGGGGGCCAGCAAGACAGGACCCCCGACGTCCCTCGCCTCTTCTGCCTCAAACCCCGTGAAACCGTCGAAAAAAGGGAAGAAGGGGGGGGGGGGGGGTACTCATAGTCGTGCATGCCGTAGTAGTTTGACCATTGACCTCGCATCCCTACAAAGCCGGGACGGAGCATGCCGGGTTCTCACCGGACCAGGCTCCCACATCACCAAGCGGGAAGC